ATGAGGCGTGGTGAGGCAAAGTGATCTAAGTGCCCAAAATTGAAAAATACTTTTTTCTACACCAAAATGATCTATGTGCCCATCCCAATACTGTGTAAAGAGATCTATCTCCAAACTATCAATAAATTGTTGGTAAAAGCAATTATAGATGGAGCTGTCTGTATGTCCACGCTTGTCATTCGCTCTAATTGATCTAAGTCCATTCATGCTATTTTTATTTTTGTCGTTGTTATTATTATTTACGCACAATGTCGATAACAGTCAACATTACATCATCATGGTTTGCAGTTTCTATATCAGTCGATATTTTATTGTGTACAAATAGCTATCATTCTTATTTTGCTCTGTGTTTTGTGGTTTTATTTTGCGATCATGGATGAATCTGCTTTTAAACCATATGAAAATTTAAAGAATAAACGTAAAAGGAAAATAGAAAGTGAAAAAAGATTAAGTGGAAAAGAATACGAAACCGTTAAGATAAAAACAAAAATATCAGGAAAAAAAGCACCTACAAACGAAGTAAGTAATTTTACTTTTTTTATCGTTAAGTATTTCATTAAGACAATGTAAATAAAATACTATACAAATACCTACCGAAAGTTTTAATAATCATATTGAACTCTTCTTATATTACAGGTTATTTGCAAGTGTAAGTTTGGTTGCAATGATGTATTGCACATTAAAAAAAAGCTCTTCGAGGACTTCTACAATTTGGGAATCAACGAACAAGGAAGCTACTTAATGGGACTTATGCAAATCCTACCCATCCAAAGACGTCGACATGGAAATTATGATGATCCGGTAGAAAGTAGAAGGCAATCAACTATCAGTTTTACAGTGCCCAATGGACATGGAGACCTCAAAAGGGTATGCAAAAAAACTTTTCTTGACATTTTTGCTATCAGTCCTCAAAAAGTGACAACTCTTGTTAAAAGAAAAAAAGCTGGTTTTACTACTTTTAAAGACAAACGCGGTGGGGTAAAAACGATCAAGTATACTTCAAAGGACAGGCAAATGGTTAAAAACCATATTAATAGCTTTCCCAGAGACGAAAGTCATTACAGTCGGGCCAAGTCAGAAAAAGAATACTTAAGTCCGGATCTAAACATGAACAGAATATACTTGGCTTACAAAGTTAAAAATCCTGAGACAACGATTTCGTATAAATTTTTTCGATCTGTTTTTTTAAAAGACTTTCCTAAGCTTTCATTTAAAAGACCAAGAGTGGATACGTGCAAAACGTGTGATGCTCTTGATCTTAAACGAAAGGACAATAACGTACTGGTAGCCTCATCAGGTAAGACAGAACTTGAATTACACCATCGTAAAGTCGATGCTGTCACCGAAGTTATTAAAGCTGATGCTGCGAAAAGTACATTACCTGGAAGTCAAACGTGTACTATTACTATGGATCTACAAAAAGTCTACCCACTGCCTAAACTATCCCATACTAGCATGTATTACAGTCGTCAGCTTTCATGCTTTAACTTTGGAATTCATGTAACAGACACGTCCAATGGCATCATGTGCGTGTGGCATGAGGGGCAATCAGGGCGAGGAGGGAACCAAATTGCCTCATGTTTAATGCAAGCTATTAATTCAGAACATCTCTCTTCCTACAAACGTCATTTAACAGTTTGGAGTGATAACTGTGCAGGGCAACTTAAAAATAGGATGCTTCTTTTCCTTTACATATGGTTGGTTGCCAATGGCACATTTGATACGATTGAACATAAATTTTTTATATCAGGTCATAGCTACTCAGCTTCAGATAGAGACTTTGCTACAATTGAAAAACGAGCTAAACGATCTAAGTTATTCAATGTGAATGATGTAAAAGGTGTTATTCGCAGCTCTAGACTTGACAGACCGTTCAAGGTTATTGACATGGAGAAAAAAACATTTTTTGATTTTGACATTGCCTCTACAAAATTTTTAGATACATCAAAGCTGGGAATAAGTAAAGTTGCTTGGTTGAAAGTGACAAAAGATAGCCCAGGAATCGTTTATTTTAAGAACAATTTTAGTTCCCTATTGCCGTTTCAAACATGTAACATTTTTAAACGAGGAATACAAATTGAAAACCTTATAAATGCAGAAATTGAAAGTCTTCCGGGTGTAGTGCCACTAAAAGAAACGAAGAAAAAAGACCTCCAAGCTATGTTACAGTATTTAAGTGAAGAAAATAGGTTGTATTTTGAAAAAATTTTAAGTGCTTAAACTGTTGGACATAGATCATTTCTGACACTCTTATTCTTTAAAATATTTGTTTTTTATAATTTGTCAAAATTTTTTTTATAATTTGTTAAATCTTATACTTCATGATTTATCAAAATTTGAAAAATAAAAATTTAATTGTTTTTGTAAATTTGGGAAAGTTTTTATTGATTTGCCAAAAAATTAAATTTTGGCACTTAGATCACTTTGCCTCGCCACGCCTTATATATCCCGTCGATATGACAACTGGTTTTTTTTGCAAACGCCGTCACTAATCGACGGCGCAACAGTTTGGTGGTGGAAACGGCTGATAAGAACCAATTGTCTTCACCACACCTTGTCGCCTGGCTCGAACACTGTGCAAAACATTTATCAAGGCGGTATTGTGATGGCCCAATGTATCCCGGCGCTAGCGCCTTAAAAAAATGTGACACAATAATCACCCACACAAAAATTAGACACTCAAAATATATTCGTAAAATTCTTTGTGTTATGTGCCGGCAATATATCAGTTGAANACTTGTTTTATTCAACGACCCGTCTATCGCCAATTGTCATCATAGCCAACCAACTCCGTCTCACTTGGATATACCTACTAACCAACTGTACTAGGATTCAGGTCAGACGTATTGTACATTACATATAACTTATATTTACTAAACATCTAAAATATAACTTTACTTTGTCGTTGACATAAAACAATAGTCTAATTTTATTTAATAATCTATCCTCTGTAACTAAGGTACACGATTGCCTGTATCTCCTTCAGGCAATTAAAACTCATTTAAGGAGATAGGGACGATATTTGGGCAGACGTCGGGTAGCTTCCGATTCTTGGTTTTGACCAAGATCCTCAACTATTAAACTAAGCCCCTAACAATATATATATATATAAATATATACGTTTACTTATTTTCGAGTATTACATTACATATTATTATTTTATAATGTATAGTTTGTAATAATATATAATTAAAAATAAGTAACAACACAAAAATAAAATAAATATCTATGATTTTATTATATATTTTAAACACGTGAACATTGTTTTTTATACATAAAAGTTTATTTTAAACTATGAATAAAAGTAAATTTTTATATAAAGCAAAACATGATAAATTCAAAGTATATAAATAAAAATACATTTTTNAAGTATATTTTTATATAAAGCAAAACATGATAAATTCAAAGTATATAAATAAAAATACATTTTTAAATAAATTTTAAGAATATTTAAATTGTTATTATTGAAATGAAAAATTGAATGCATTGCCACGTTTTCCGTAATAAATTAGAGATAATTTTTCCATAGATTCATTGTATTCATTTATCTCAGCGTCTGTGAGTGAANCGTAGATTCATAGTATTCATTTATTTCAGCGTCTATGAGTGAAATTATTTTAGGCAAACATAGCTGTCTATCGTTTTCTAATCTCGTTATTAATGTTCGACCGTACTTGGTTGCCACAGATCTCAAAGTAGTTACCCGATACTCTTTATTTAGTGTCAGTGAAGTCATTGATACATATTCATTGTGAGAGAGTGATTTAATTTTATTCAGTACAGACATTTTTTTTAGAAAAAAAAAACAAATCATTAGTGTAAATATTAACTATACTTATCGTTAAATTAAAATATAAGATTCAAGCAATACAAAAAAAAAAAATGGCAAAAATTAGTTTTACTTACTTATTTCTATTGAATTCTTCAAAAAAACAATTAGATAAAATGTTTGAAACTTATTTGTTGAAAAACTTGACTTTTACACGACACGTACAAAAACTGTGTTTAAACTAAAATAATATTACTGCAAATTACTTAAATATGATTTTTATCGAGGGAGGGAGTTGATATGATATTGTCAACACCAGATTTCATTGGTTAAAAAATCATAAACTCACCCCCAACGATAATAAACCATATATTCAACCCTTATAGCCCAAATATTATCTAATAATAT